CTCCCTCTCCTTGGCGCTGATGGCCTCCTGCTCCAGGTGCTGCATGAGCGCATCCCGATCCAGCGGCCCGGTGGGCGTCTTCTTCGTTTGGTCTCTCTGGCGCATTCCCGCCGGGAGCAGGATGTTCTGTGTGAGCGCGGAGAGAAGATCGTGAGAACCCGCTGCGTCCGCATTCACCGCAAGTGAATATGTCAATTTCGGGGGGTTGGGTATAAACTTTCTAACTTTGCACTTGGCTGGGTAAGCCCTGGAGAATTTCTGCAAATTCAGCACACGGTGCTTCAGAGGGAGGGGCTACAGCCTATTTGTTTGTACAGGGGGCGGGGCACAGAGCCAGGGACCAATCAATCTGCATTTAGCGCCCTAAGGCAACTTTACTTCTAGGTTTGGATATTTTGTGGGAGGATTGGAATCCCCCTTTCTTTTTTAAAGCTATCTGGGACCCCATTGGAGAGATTTTCTCTTCACTTCCTGTCACGGTGACAATAGTTTTACCAGACAGGAAGTGATGAAAAATCTGCAACAAGATGTGATTGGATGGGGAGACAGATGTTCTGTACCATGTGATTGGACGGGAAGACAGACGTTCTGTGCCATGTGATTGGACGGGGAGACAGACGTTCTGTACCATGTGATTGGACGGGGAAGACAGGTGCTCTGTACCATGTGATTGGACGGGGAGACAGACGTTCTGTACCATGTGATTGGACGGGGAGACAGACATTCTGTACCATGTGATTGGACGGGGAGACAGACATTCTGTGCCATGTGATTGGACGGGGAGACAGACGTTGGTACCACGTGATTGGACGGGGAGACAGACGTTGGTACCATGTGATTGGACGGGGAGACAGACGTTCTGTGCCATGTGATTGGACGGGGAGACAGACGTTGGTACCATGTGATTGGACGGGGAGACAGACGTTGGTACCATGTGATTGGATGGGGAGACAGACGTTGGTACCATGTGATTGGACAGGGAGACAGACGTTGGTACCATGTGATTGGATGGGGAGACAGACGTTCTGTACCATGTGATTGGACGGGGAGACAGACATTCTGTACCATGTGATTGGACGGGAGACACTCACTGCACGGGGAATGAATGAAGTGTATCGTTACCTCGGGGTCCATCTCCTGCAGCTCGAGGTCCAGCTGAGCCAGTTCTTCCGCGGACATCCCTCCGAGGATCTCATCCTCGTCTATGTCCCGGTACTTCTCCAACTCCTTCTGGTAAGACATGGTGATGATGGAGGAGGTAGAAGCACGGCGCAGCCCCTTCTAGAGGAGAGAAATACAATCAATGGAGAGGAGACACCCTGAGAGCAATGACACACTGACACCTGAGGCCAGAACCATGACACAGTGACCATCGGGGGTCCCAGAACAATGACACGCTGACACTTGGGGGCCCCAGAACAATGACACAGTGACCATCGGGGGTCCCAGAACAATGACACTTGGGGGTCCCAGAACAATGACACACTGACACTTGGGGGTCCCAGAACAATGACACACTGACACTTGGGGGTCCCAGAACAATGACACTGACACTTGGGGGTCCCAGAACAATGACACACTGACACTTGGGGGTCCCAGAACAATGACACACTGACACTTGGGGGTCCCAGAACAATGACACACTGACACCTGGGGGTCCAGAACAATGACACGCTGATACTTGGGGGTCCCAGAACAATGACACGCTGATACTTGGGGCCCCAGCGTTACATTTGCTGTCAGTGTGATGTTGGTGGAAAGTTTCGGGTTTGGACTCTTATCACCTCAAAACTGCAGCAGGAGAGGAGAGACTTCGATGAAGCCAATGGCAACCATTGCTTCTGGAAGCAGACATGTCCTGCAACCTCCCTCTATGGGAACCCAGAAGAAATGAACCGCGTGCAGGGAAATTCCTTCCCCTCACATTACAATGGAGGAAACCTTTCTATGTAACAATCCCCCCCTCCCCGGATGCAACATTGTTTCTCATTGGGATGGAGAACGGGTTGATGTTTTAAGGGAGATTGCCCATCACTTCCTGTCCCAGTGACACCCGTGCAAGAAATGGGCGAAGCGGTTGTCACCAGGACAGGAAGCGGCAGATAGCAAAAGGGAAAAAAAAAAGACGTCAGAAAGTTACAGAAAGAATAACAGCAGAACATCACCTGAACCGGGCCAATCCTGAGGGCCCTGCGGGGCCCCTCCGATCTCCTCATTACCCACAATGCCCTACTCTAAGCGAGGAGTCCACAATGAGGGAGTCATATACTACAAAAGCAGCGCTGGGGACACTTTGTTGTCTCCGCCCCCCCGCGAGCGTGAAAATATGGAAACGCCCTGAGAGCCGGGGAGATCACAATCTACACACAGGAAGAGGACCTGTCTACAGGCAACTCAACACCAGGGAACAGATACCAAGAATGACACCCGGCACACGGGGCAAGAGAAATGGTACTGTGCAGAGTCCATACATACAGAATAAGAACAGATACTGAGAATGACACCTGGCATACAGGACAAGAGAAGTGGTACTGTGCAGAGTCCATACATACAGAATAAGAACAGATACCGAGAATGACACCCGGCATACAGGACAAGAGAAGTGGTACTGTGCAGAGTCCATACATACAGAATAAGAACAGATACCGAGAACTACTCAGAGCCCTCAGACGGGGGACATGCTGGGGGTGTACTTCCCCTTTAAACCTTCCAGGAAGACGTGATGAGGGGTGTTGGCGGGGAATCATTATCTGTCCCACTGGACATGCCGGGCAGATCCGGGGTTAATCCCTTTAATTCGGCTCCGCTGAGCTTGCAAAGACTTTCCCTCTGCTGCATTAGTGGCTGTCTGTAGATCAGACAGTGCAGTCAGCATCCTTGCTGAATGACCACTAAAGAGGAGTCAATAGTGGCAAGCATAGAGTGGAGACCTCCTCCATAATAGTGGCCATGGAGAGAAAGGGGAGGGGCCAACTTCATAATAATGGTTAAGGTGGAGGTGAGGGGCCAACTGCATATTACTGGCCATGGAGAGGAAGGGGAGGGGCCAACTCCATAATAAAAGCCATGGAGAGGAAGGGGAGGGGCCAACTCCATAATAAAGGCCATAGAGAGGAAGGGGAGGGGCCAACTCCATAATAATGACCATGGAGAGGAAGGGGAGGGGCCAACTCCATAATAAAGGACATAGAGAGGAAGGGGCGGGGCCACCTCCATAATAATGGCCATGGAGAGGGGCCACCTCCATAACAATGGCCATGGAGAGGATAGGGAGGGGCCAACTCCATAATAATGGCCATGGAAGGGGAGGGGCCAACTTCATAATAATGGCCATGGAGGGGCCAACTTCATAATAATGGCCATGGAGAGGAAGGGGAGGGGCCAACTGCATAATAATGGCCATGAAGAGGAAGGGGAGGGGCCAACTTCATAATAATGGCCATGGAGAGGAAGGGCCAACTCCATAATAATGACCATGGAGAGGGGCCAACTCCATAATAATGACCATGGAGAGGGGCCACCTCCATAATAAATACCATGGAGAGGATAGGGAAGGGCCAACTCCATAATAATGGCCATAGAAGGGGAGGGGCCAACTTCATAATAATGGCCATGGAGAGGAAGGGGAGGGGCCAACTTCATAATAATGGCCATGGAGAAGAACGGGAGGGATCAACTCCAGAATAATGGCCATGGGAAGGGGCTAACTGCATAATAATGGCCATGGAGAGGAAGGGGAGGGGCCAATTTCATGATAATGGCCATGGAGAGAAAGGGGAGGGGTCAACTCCATAATAATGGCCATGGAGAGGAAGGGGAGGGGCTAACTGCATAATAATGGCTATGGAGAGGAACTGCAGGGGCCAACTCCATAAAAGTGGCCGTGGAGAGGAAGGGTAGTAGAGTCCTCATCCCCCAGGTGCCGGTCTAGCTCCTCCTCCTCGCTATATCCAGAGTATTTCTGTTCGGTTTTAGCACCGGGCCGCTATAAATACCCCCCATACAGTATATATATATATATACACAGCCACCTGTTCA